TCTCATTAGAAGTTAGTATGAACTAGCAAAGTGAAGTAATGGTAAAAGCGATTATGCCACTTACTTTGATATATGTAAGACTTTTGTAAAGGTCTCGATCCAACGTTGCCAGCTCATCCAAGAAGCTATAACAACTCGCTCTCTGCCGACCCAGAACTTGTGTTAAGAAGAAATTCGCGAAAGGAACATCCACAATAATTCCCTTAAAAATAAAATAATCGAGTTAGAAAGGCTGCTTCTGTGTTTTTTTTTCTCAAAGAAATTAACAAAATGATACCTCATATACAGCTTTGGCAAGAAGTTTACCGACGAATTCGAAGAGTTGAAGGTGACTTTCCTGAATATGTGAATTTGGAGAAGGATAGAGCCTTTGATCAGTTGTGGCTCGGAAGAGGTTTAAGGTTGGATCAAAAACTCGACGAAGAGTTTCTTCCAGAAATTCTTTGAACACGCCATCCAGATCAATACCGACTTCATCCAGACCCTAAGCAAAACACATATACAGCAAATGTGTATCAAATGACGTTAAAGAGCCGCTTCTCAAATTAAAATGAAACCAAAAAAGATGATGTCAAAGACAATCCAAGTTCATTGATTTGAAGGCCATTACACATATTTGCGATACGACTGAAGGCTTGACCAACCCTGCACAACATACACTGAAGCATCTTGGCCTACCTTATAAAGTTAATGTGAAGAATTCTAGCTCTATAGGTGGACAATGTTAACAAAAAGAGCCCAATTAAATGGCAAAAAAATAACAATTTTATAAGTAAAGTGAAAAATGGTAGCGCGACAATGTAATTTAAGAAGACCCTAGAACACATTTTGGATCTGTGATGTAGTATTGAACCACAATTGAGGATTCTATTAAAGATCTCGCATTTTCCCCTGCCACACAAACGCCTATAGCACTAAAATAGCACCTCAGCTTAAAGTTGTGGACAAGTATTTATTGGAAGAGAAAGCGATACAAATAACATTCGTCTTTCTAACAGTGAAGTGGAATACACATCCTTTGTTTTAAAGGATAAGCCCAGGGAAATAAGCACCAGAGTGCAACAAGGTATACTCGCGACAAAGGACTGAATTATACAAACCACTAGGACACATATTTACAACTGCAATTATACCATAATTTCTAGCCTAATTTGTCATAGTAAACATAGCACTACAAGAATATTTAATGTGAACAAATCAATAAGAGAAAGAGAAAATAATATTTTTAGTATGCACCAGTGTGTTGATAAATTGAACACGTATCTTCATTCTCAGCTGAGTTGGAGTGAGATTTGCCAGCTGTTGATAACCATCCTAAATGCATGAAAAAAGGACGCAATTGAATAAAATGTCGAGATGTGGCATTTAATACTAGAGCTACACCTAAGTACCCCACCTCAACTATCCGATTTCGATGGATCATTATTACAGCACCTACTGCAGCGCTGTCCAACATGCAGTTAGTCTGTCCCAGAATTCCAAGTGCCGACTTCTCCGCCCTCACTAATTCTCGGAATAACAGGACTCGCTAGAGGATGATAAAGTTAGCATAAAAACAATAGTGTGCAACATAGATTAAGGGCAGGATAAAGTCAAGACTCGTACCTCTTTTCTTGAAATTATATGCGGAACATGCTTGAGAAGGAATGTTGCATGGGCTCGCACTTTTCGTAAGTCAGATATGAAAGCGGAGGGCTTGATACCACTAAAATAATCATAGGAAAGTGAAATTATAGTAGGTCATTAAAGAGCCAGACTAACCAGATGAGCCAAAAGTTGGTTGGGGTGTACTTCCATCTACCGTCTCGATTGTAGAGGATGGACAAGAGGCGAAGGCAAATTGAGAGGAGAGTTAAATTCGTAGAAGAAATTTGTCGATTATCAGAGATCTTATCAATTTGATTGGGTGTGGAATTCGAGTTATCAGTGGAGTTGAATTGAGTCAGGGAAGTAGCTAAAAGGGTAGAAGAGAGAAGAATTTCAACTTCCTATCCAAAGTGTAAACCGAGAAAGAGTCATATTTAACCCACGATTGGGAACAAGAAGAACAGCTTCATAGATGAGATGATTGAAGAAATCGGCAATGGCTAGTAACTCCTCAATTTCAAAGGCTTTGTGCTTTTCGAAGACTTCGACATCATCCAAAATTCTGAAATAAGAAATTAGGCATACTAAGGTACTCAATCTTCGCCATATAGCGATGAATTAGAGTCTATGAATGCAGCCAAGTAGTAGTTATTCAGCTGCTCAATCCATAAAATTCGATCAAATACCTCGAATTTCTAAAAAAATGCTAATCGAATATTTTTCTCATTTACATCTTTATTTCACTTTTGCAAGAAGTAATATTGACTACCAGAGTTAAAGCGCATCGTTAAGCTAGGGAAATAAAGCATTCCATTGGTAATCTAAGTAAATGATAGAGAAAGTTAGAGAGAGAAATAGAATGAAATTATAGTTAACACTCCCCCCCCCC